AGTAAGAAACAGATATACTGCCTGCTCAGGACAGAGAGGCAATAACCTCATACACTGAAGCAGTGGGAAATGGCAAAACATGTCAGAGCTCTCAGAAATTGTAATTTTCTGTGTGTAACTAAGGTCGACAGTTGACTTGTATAATGAGGAATGAATTACTCAGAATAAAAGTAGTGCTTTATCTTGATTTTTGATCGTTCTTATTTTAATATGAGATAAAAAAGTGAACACTTTAGCATCTGTGATATATTTTATTTTTTTATCTTTTCTGTCTTAAACTACCCAAACCCTAGGTATTCTGCTTTAAAGCCTTAAATTTATCTTAAACTTTTAAGGTATGAAAAGGTTTTAATTTTATAGGTCTTTCTCCATAAATTGGTGACTCCAGAAAGATTTAACAACAGCCTAAAGCAGCTACTGAAATTGGGCAGGACAAACCCAGTAGGTAACTGAACACTGAATTACACTTAGGTCTCTTTTCAACTAGGCTTCAGTAAGAATATTGGCAACTGAATTGACAAATTCAATTGCCAAAACTACACTTAGTGCCATTTGAGGTTTCCTAAATTGTCTGTCTGCACACAGATGATATATATACCATTTGACAGGGGTAAAGACCTAATTTAGGTATCAATATTGAATTGAATCCTTCTCCTGTACTTCTGATGGCTGAAGTTAAATGAAAGACAATACAGTTGTCTTCTAAAGCTAGTTGGTACTGCAATATCCTAGGGTCTCCAAGATATCTGCATCAGACTGTCAGGTATGCACAGGCCAACTCAAATTTCGGGCCAATAGCTGAAAAGCTCAAAAGAAATATCTTGCAAAGAAGTCTTAAACAGAATTGTAAACCACCATAAATCACCTCAAATGATGCTGTCTCTAAACTACCACATGAAAAAAATATAAATATTGGTAGAAGGAGAAATGAAAATGGTGTGTTTATTATGCTGCAATTATTAAAATATTACATTTACTCTACTTGGTTTCAATAAGATGAAAGCCTGGAAGAACTACAGATTTGGAAAATAATTATTTCTTCTTAGATACCATTTGTAGTTTCAAATTTCCCTTTTTGACCTATATATTTTAGAATAAGGATTTATTGAAATCTCAGCTTTGATAGATTACAAGTGTTCCTTATGTGTTACACTGAAAATCATGACAAGGTTGTGTCATGTTACCTTACATAAAAATTCATCTTTTTCAAAATCCATAATAAGCAAAATATGTTGCTAAACTATATATATATCAATCCACTCTCCTTTATATCTAGAAAATCTTATTTTGTACAGGGTAAAAAACAATGATTTATATATATCTCAGAATGGTCACTCATTCCAGTATTTAATTTAATTTTTTAATGACAAATATTGCTATCTGAAACTTCTCATCACTGAAGAAAAATTACCAGAAAAGGAAGAGGCCTAGGACCTGTGTGAAATACATGGGTTATTATTAGCTAAGAAGACACAGACTTAAAGCTGTTAATATGCTATGGAATGCACAGGAGTGCATCCTTCCTGGACCCTGTTAGCCACGCTCCTGCTATGAAGCACAGTCTGTTGACAGGTAATGATGAGAAATGTGGTCTTTAAGATAACTGTGATTCAGCACACTGACTATTTGAAAAATAAATTGGATACAGAACTGACATGATGGTAATATACATTGGCCATTTGTTGGAATATGCAAAGGAACTGTATTAAAAACTAAGATAAAAATAAAAATAGTCTCAAAATTAGAGATAGACTCTACATGCATAGAATCATAGAATAGTTTGAGTTGGAAGGGACATTTTAAAGATAATAAAGTCTTTTTTAATCACTAAGTTCCATTTTTAAATCTTGATTTGTAATTGTCAAACGTTTAAGATTAGAAACAATTAATTTTGTAGGATTAATTTTGAGCCAGGCATTGGTAATAAATAATTAGCTTTTGTGAAAATTAAATATACACAAACTACATAAATATACCTCCCTAAGTGCATTGTTTTTACTTATAACTTATGGTCTTTTTTCACCCTGTGACACTTCTTACTTTCTCTGCAGATCAGCCAAAGCATAGTAATAATGAAAGCACCTTTCAGTCACTAGAGTAACACAAAACATTGCTGACACCTCTGGACCATGCTACATTGCGTAGAAGAGCACGTTCAGAGATGCATAAAACAGACACACTGCACACAAATTCTTCTAGGAAGTTAGCTCTAACTCTTCAGTGATGAACTGACATTCATCTGTGGCACCTCAAATAAAGGGATTCAAATACCTTATTCCCAGAAAAACAGCTACTGTCCCTGTTTATTTCTCATTTAGTAAAACAATAGAAAATTAACTGAAAGAAATTTAACAATGTGAGCAAGATCACACTCTATTGTGCTACCAGCCATCAGGTAATGCCAGACATTGCTTGCTAACCAATACCCCAATTTAAATGTCACACTCACCAGAATGCTGATATACAAAAAATATCAGTTTAGTTGTTAGTTGGGCTGTTTGTGCACTAGAAAGGAGAACAGGAATTGAGCGATGTAAATGAAAGTGTGCACAGCTGCAGTGATTCCCATCTCCCAGATGAAAAGAAGTCAGGCAGTGCTGTGCCAGGACTATGATTCCAGTAACAGAAATCTATTTTTTATGAGACTAAAGCCGTTCTCCATTTACTCATTATTGTCAGTATTCCAACATTGCTGATACTCACACACTTTACTATCATTAAACAAGATGCCAGAGCAGTGTTTAGAGGGAGCATCCAACATACAAAAAACACTCTATATGTGGACAATTCCTGAGCTTTCTAGCTGGAGGGTTGGAAGGTGCTGGGGCAGAGGGATTCCTTCCCTCAAAGGAATGCATGGGTGCACAGTACTGCCTCCAGTGGGCTGCAGAGCTCATTTTGGTGCTAGCCTTGCTAGGGCTGCTGCTGCTGCACTGAGAAAAGGGGGAAGCATGACTCAGAGAGATCGTGTCTAGTTACAAAATTCAGTGAGGAATGGACACCCCACAGTCAGAGCTGCCCCTCTATGCAGCAGTTCTCTAAGTGTGTGTGCATGAACACATGGGTTTGTATAGGCTGGGAAACTGTTCAGAACTGTAAAACACCTTTATGAGTTCTGATGCAATATGCAGATTTGCCAATGGATAAAAGATTTAAAAATAAAACATGTTTGGCAAGTTCCAGTTCCTGCTTGCCAACTTGGAAAGGAGAAGAGTGATCAGGGTAAAGTAATTAAACATTTTTAGTCTTCCTTTTCCATGTTATTGTCCTCATTTTATTGCTCACTGTTAAGCTAGCCTAAATATTGCTTCAAAGCATGAGCTCTGAGGTCCTCCCCTCCTTGCACTCACACGCAGGGTTCTCAGCCACAGTCTCTAGTCACCGCTTGTGAGTAATCACAGACTGGCACAACTACCACTAAACACAACAGAGCACAAATCTGGTTAGCAGAAAGCACTGCACTTTATAGCCTTTAGCTCAGCAATAAGATGTTTTTGAGATTCCTCCTTGTACAGTGCATTGTAATGGGTTTTGTGATTAACAAGCACTACTGCCAATGGAGTCAGACACCAGAGCAAAACATTTCCCTGCTCTTGCCAAGCAACAAATTTAGGGCCCAATTCAGCTTGAGTACAGCCAGTTTCCTTGCTACAGGAGCTGGCCATGATTTTTACTGAAATAAGCCCTTTGCTTTTAGAATGCAGATGAGCATTCAAGACAACCTAATTAAAAACAGCAATGATTTTTTTCCATTGCTGTTTGCTTCTGCTTGACATGATTTAATGTCAGATAGCTCTGAGCATCAGAGCTTTTCTAGATGTATGGCTGCAGCAAAGGATTCTTCATCCATCCCAGGAACAGTGTACCTTCTGCTAGATGACTTTATATTTTTTTTAATTCTAAAAATGTAAATCACTTCTTCCAAGATGATGTTCCGCTCCTATTAAGCTACTACTTTCTCAAATATTCATGTTGGCTTCCTAGCATAATAATAAAATCACCTCTTAGCCTCTACAAGATATTTTTATAGTCAGTTTGTTTGGGCATCATTAGCCTGGCACAAAAATACTCTGCAAGCAAAATATGGATAACTCACAGGTATAAAGCAATTATTTATTGGCTAGGACACATAAAAGACAGCTGGTATTTAGTGAACTGTGAGGTTAAGCACAGGTGTGCTCACATTCCAGTACAGCAGCTGGGAAGCCTTCACCAGGCAGGCAGGTGCTGCTGAGGAGTGAGGGGTTGGTGGCCACGGCTCCCGAGAGCCACCATGGGAGCAGAGCTGCTCCTGCCTCTTACTTGGTCAGCACTGATGGATGAACCCCAATCTGGCAGCTCCTGACTGGCCCTGCCAAGACCAGCCTCCAGCTACCTTCATTTCTTTTCCTTAAGGTGTTAGCATTTCATGTCGATGTTTTCTCTGCTGAGTCCTTGTTCTCCTAGCTATCACACACCAGCAATCCTACCACTCTCTATTATTTTTTACTTTTCTTAGCCCAGTACAGACTGTCTCATAGCTCTGGCTCAGCAGTCTGAGTCAAGGTTACGCAGCCTGAGTGAACCAAAGCTGGACTCCCTACTTGAGCAGCTAAAACCCCAGCAGTGGGGGGCTACAGAGAGAGGGCAACACTCTGCCATGGCATCATATGTGATTCTTGGACACTCTTTTATTCCCCTCACTCCTCATTCCTGATTACTTCCCTGAGCCTTCTGACTTCAGTCCCTGCTTTTCTCCTCCAGTATGGAATTCTGGAAGAACAAATATGTCTACTAGCTTCCTTCAATCAGTCTTCAATTTTGTAATGCTTACTATTCAAAGTTGCCATCTACTATTGTATGTTGGCTGTCCAGTACCAATTTGCAATCTACTATTCATAGAAACAATGTTGGGCACAAGTTTCTTACTGTAGGGTTTTTTACGATACTCTTTCAGTAGGAAAAGGATATGAATCTGGACTTTTTCCCCAATGAGTGAGCAGAATTTTAGCCAAGGAAATATGTTTTCTTCTCCTTTAATCCTCTTCACAGCAAAATTTAAGAGGAACACCCAGGAAACACACCATATGCTTGAGAATATGCCATCATATACTTTGTGAGCCCTGTAGCTGCTGCTGCCCTTTAGCCATTAAAACTGCTAACAGCAGTGTTTCTAGGTAGCCAGATCATGTTTATCACAGTACGTAAATCCTGTGTGTCCAAACTGATCATGAAGTACAGCAGTCATTTCTCTGGAGCTTTCTGCAACCTTCAGCAAGTCACCAAATTCCTCTTTCCTGGGCAGGGAAAAGAAAAAAAAAAATCATTTAAACACAAATGATATATTTACTTACACGATAAATGGGGATCTGTGCTTGAATCTAGTTGTAGGATAACTTCCAAACTGTGTTGTGGAGTCAGCCAAGATATAACATATATTCAGACAGGGTAATATTGATCTGAAGTGGTTCACTGTGAATCCAGAAAATTGTGGCTCACTTCCAGCATTTCAAACATAGAACTACATAGGAAAAATACAACTTCTATTCAGATGCTTAATATGAGTCTAAAAATTTTCTGGACAGAAACTATATCAAAATCAATCAACTGATTTACTATTTTTCCTCAATTTCACAATATTGTCTCTGTGAAGTCTTTTACAGAATGCAAAAAGAGAAGAAAAGACATATACAATGGGAACATTAAGCTGAATTTATGACACAAATGAATGCACAGTGCATAAACATCAATCCTGATCTGACTGTTTTGCTCATCTAAGCAGAACAAAGCAGTCAGTAACACCTTTCAGGAACTATATCCATCGAATAATATAGCACACAGTTATCCCTAGGGTCTAATCTGAAGGTCATCTCCATCTGACTCAAGACACAAAATCCACATTTTTTGCATCCATTACTTTGGACCCACACTAGACTGATCCACAATCTGTTTTTCAAAGTCCTTTTAAGACTGAGCCTTCTTTCTCTGTCCTCACTTGCTCTAATCACAAGCAAAGGAAAAAGAAATAAAAGTTTTTTAAAGGCTAGAAATTATGGACCAAGAAATTGCAGAATCACCATTGCTGGATTTTCTGTAGCTATGACTTTCAATATATGGATGAATTTTATACACAGCAGGAGGGGCCAATAGACACCACTCTTTAGCATTTGGACATTCTACATACTGCTTACTGCTGAATTTGGGGTACAGCCACCTGTTGGGGACTAGACTAAGGTAGGTTTTCATACCCAAGATAAGCAGTTATAGGCATAAACATAAATTTATTATTAAACTTAACATTCAATATAGATGTAACTACACCCACACAGATAAGTATCTTGTATTAGAGAATTGGATACAGTCTTGTATTGGAGAAGAGTTTCTTCTACAGCATATTCATTTAAACAACCTACTATTTTGTCCCCAAACTACTTGTCAATTTAACCCAAATTTCATGCATAATTTTAGGTGGAAGAAATAAGAATTTATAACATTCTGGAGGACTGAATGCTGAAAGCTCTAACATTATGTTCTCTGTTTATTCCATGAGAAGTGCATACCTTGAATAGTAGCAAATAATTTCAGTTTCTTTTTCCAACTGAGGGAATCCAAAACCACAGCTCATACTAGTTATATGAATACCTTAAATATCAACTGGTGGTTCAGTCATTGATCAGTGCAGAAAGATGAACCAGAAGTTCGTTAAGTGTGCTCACAAGGAACCTATTCTACCATTAGATGGCTTCCTCAGGCATTGAAGTAAAAACTCGTCTTCGGAAAATATTTTGAGATATATGGCAAATATTAACCTATAGCCTGGAACTTTGAAAATTTACCTTGAGCTCCAAGTTGCATTAAATAGTTAATTATTTCAGATACTCAGAGGAAGCAGGTTCTTGTTTGGAACTACTCACTACAAGTTAAGCGATTAAAGAAGCTGTTCTGCATAATTTGGTTCTGCATCAATAATTTGGTTTGTGTGTATTAATTTCAGTGTTAGTGCCAAATCTAGTAATAAATTCAAATCTTGATTTCATCATTTCAAAAGAAAATATTAATACCTAATTTTATTCTTAAATAAAAGTTTGGCATTTTGTTGTTAGAAATTCAACAGGAATAAGAGAATTCTTTGGGTTTTTAAATATATATTCTGCCAAAATATTCCATACATGCATGTATTTTAGGTTAATATATGACAATGAAATAAATCAAAATTTGAGCAGTACTGGTTTATTATTTCATTGCTGTGTGAAGAGCTGATGAAATTGAACTGTTGTGTACCATGACATTTTGCCTGCACAATGCAATAACCACTTTATGGAAAATAAGTTGAGAATCTCATTACTTGACCAAGATTTATGATGGAACTTGTAAATGTATTTGCTTTCAATAAATCTGACAGAGATTGACCGCCATCCTTGTTAACATTTTGATAGACATCCTCTTTTAATGTCACCTAATTACAAAACAGCCAGAGCAATGTGGCACTAAGATAAAAATTCAGTCTAGAAATAGTAATAACTGCCAGATTTAACTCATATATTTATTTTCTGGAGATCAGAAATAGCCCTTCTCTTTTCTGACATGCATATTAGAAAAGCTACTCAAAAAAGATCTGAACATTTTCTAAATTCTAGAATCCATCTAATTTTTTTTTTTCTGAAGTATTCCTAAAGTGTCTACTTCCATTATGTCAGTGTGAAGAGCTCCCCTGCCTGTCTCCAAAGGAAATCATATGCTTCCCGTTACTGGGTGATGCAGATCCGTGTGGTCTGCAAGGGAGCAAATCCTGGCACAGGGAAAAATAAGCTCAGGTGATATATAACTGTAATGTAAAATATTACATTCATTGTATATTCTGGAGATCAATCTATTTTACTTCATTTCCTCAAAATCCTTTTTCTCATTTTGTTTCAAAGTATAAAGTTGTTTGTTGGAGCATACCCTCATTTCTCATTGTGGTTATTCTCTCTGTTGCTGGGATTGGTGCACAAAGATCAAAGCCATGGAATTTCCTTTGGAATTTAACTTTTTTCATAGAAAATTCTCAGTTTTATCAACACTGAGGATGCAGACATAGACAAAATTCCAAACTGGTAAACCAGATAATACATGCTGCATAATAAATTTATTTTGGCAAGTGCCCAACAAAGCAGTGTTAAGAGAAAGTTAAATACATTTCAGCATTGTACAAAAGGTTTCTAAACAAACAGCCTTTAAAATGCACTTCAGTAGCACATGTTTAAAATCCCTTATGCATCAGTTCACAGGGGAAACAGATCACTTCAATAACTGACAAGTGTTTCTTCAGGGGGAAGTTTAATTCAGATGTTTCAATTTCTTTATTCGAATGCTACAGTCATGTCTACCATGGCTCACATAGACAGAGTGATTCAGGAGTCACGCAGGTGAATACAGAAGTAATAAAATATGAGAAGTTTAAAAATGCAAAAAAATATAGAAACAAACACAGCTATTTTTGACTAAACAATATATTATGAAATTTATTTTTTAAAAAATACTTTCATATCCTCTGCTGTTTAGGGGCTGTTTTTACATTAGTCTGAAATTCATCTGTGCCATCAAGTTCCACTGGATTCTCATATTTTCATCTTAGTTAAACTCATATCACATGAATATTTTTATGCAAGTTTAAATCTTGTTTCATCAGGACAGACTCAGATTGCTAACTGAACCATGATTAATCATGTATCTAATTGCATTTCATAACATAGTGCATAGATGAAGCACCAGTGTTTTGGGGACTTTGTTCTCATCCACCATAAGTTACTTTTCTGTCTCCTTTCTGACATCTATTTTCCACAGTCTCAGGTTCAGAAAAAAAATTCTTTAATATTTTGTGGTGCGTTGACCTTGGACAGTTGCCAGGCACCCACCAAGCTACTCTATCGCTTTTCCTCCTTAACAGGACAGAGGGAAAATGACAAACACAGGATGGAAATAAGGAAGATCACTTACCAATTGTAAAAAAGTTGGGGAAAACGGACTGGACTTGGGAAAATTGAATTTATTGCCAAGAAGAATAAAATAATAGGGAATAAGAACAAATTAAAAAAAAAACAACATATTTTCCCCACCTTTGCTTTCATCCCAGGCTCAGCTTCAATCCCAACTCTTTTAACTCCTGCACCTCAAGTGGTGCAGTAGAATGGGGAAAATGGTCAGTTACAGTCAGTTCACAACACTCCTTCTATGCTGTTCCTTCCTCCTCACTCTCTTTCCTTGCTCCATCATAAGGGCTTACCCATTGGAGACAGTGATTCATGAACTTCTCCAACATTAGTCCTTCCCACAGGCTGACTGGTCCAGTGGGGTCCTGCTGTGGAGTGCTGTCCTCAGTCACAGGTCTGACAGCAAACTTGCTCCTGTGTGGTGTCCTCCCCATGGGCTGCAGTTCCTGTCAGGAGGGCAAGCAAAGGCCCTTCATGACTCACAGCTGCTTTTAAGGGTTATTCACCTGCACTGATGTGGGGTTGTCTAAAGGCAGCAGGTGGCTATTTGCTCCATTGTGGATATCCATGGGATGCAAGGAATGTCACTATACTCTCTGCACACTGTAGGAGAATCTCTGGTTGCATGCCTGGACTACCTTCACCCTCTCTTTCTGCAATGACCTTGGGGCCTACAGAGTTGTTTCTCTTACATATTCTCACTTCTCTATCCCAGCTTCTAATGGGATTTTTCTCTTTCTTAAATATGCTACCACAGAAGTGCTCCCACTGCTTCTGATGGGCTCAGCTTTACTTAGTGGTGGGTTATCAGTTTCTCAAGGTTGAGATTGAAAGCACTTGAGACGGTGTTTCATGTTTGGACTCAGGCGTTTATTATTTATTACCTTTGTTACAGTTTCATCGCTGTGAGTTTGGCAGCTTTTTCATTAGCAAGGCACAAAATGGCTAACTAACTCTTTTTACAAGGTCTTTTAAAACTAAACGATCCAATTAAGAAAGGACACCTAGATTATTTTCCTTTTTAACCCAATAGCTCATCCCCTGAATTTCGCAATGTGGTCTTTTCTATCCAATCTTAAAACATCACCCAAACCTGTGAAGAAAAAGGAAGAAGGTGAAGAAGAACAATTTTCCTCCACCCTAAAACCTCCATCTTGCTTCATATCTATTTCTATATTCTAAAATCCCAAACTCCAAGTTTTCCACCCTGTGATATTACAGACTTCTAACCAACTATGCACCTGTAATCCCAGTGCTATTAACCAATTTTAAAAGCCTGTTCCATGACCTCAGGTCAAATGCAGTGTTCTCTTGTGGTTCTGTGCATTTAAGCACAGAAAGTTTAAAATTCTCATCATCCAGGATTCCAACAGCCTGTCTGTTTTGGAGCCAGCTGGATCCCTCTCTGACATAAGGGCAGCTCCTGATATTTCCTCACAAAGGCTGCTCACACAGCTGCCAGCTACCAAAACTTTGCCACACAGATCTAATTTGTTTTTTCAGTTTGTTTCACCTTATATAGTAAGGCAGTAGAATGAAAAAAATAAACAAACAAAACAAAACCACACAAAACTTTAGAAATATCTAAAATGCACATATTCATTGATGGCAATACTAGACAGTGCTATTTTTTCATGCAGCCTGACCACTAGTAAAAATGGTCATTTAATTTCATCCTTTGCTATGAAAACTCACATCTAGATATTGCTTAAAATTGATCTGTTTACAACTCAAACTTAACAGCTTTTTCTTTAATCACTGTACTTAACCATACTTAACTATTCACTGTGACTTCTGACAGGAAAGTTCTCAGATTCCTCTGCAAGCATGAGGAACATTTCCCATCTTGAGGAATCTAAAGCTCTTCTGTAGCTGCCATACTGCAGACAGGATTCATCTCACTTAACTTCAGCTGACTAGTCTGGTCCTGGGCAGAGACAGGAGATTGCAGGCAGGGGTTAATGTCTGAGATGCCATGTGCTTCATATACTTCTCCTTATTTTATTAAATAATCTGGGAGAATAAAATTACTGAGATTAAATCAATACTATGGATGGGGAAAAGCTTTCCTCAGTGGTAAGTGAACACTAACAAATCAGTGGTCCTTAAATTAATTTAAATCTTCCAGAAAATAGTATATTGCAAATGTATAGACCTTCATACGTTATCGTAACAGACTTCACATCAATGTCTAATGGTAAGGCAAAAATATTTTTAGCCTTATAAAAGGCTAATTTGCAAATATGAGTATACTTACAATTTAAGAGGGCCAAACAGTATTGCAGTAGATACATAGAGCAAACAGTCTGTGAAATACACATGGACAGGACTGCCCCAAAACACTACTGGAGTTACTGTTGACTATAAAAAAATTGGCTTTTTCAGTTAACATTTTTGCACTGTAAAAGTTTAAACATAAACCAGTAGGACTTCAGGTCTGTGGAAGCTGGATGTTTACTATGTGTTTTTTAGACGTGCTAGAACCTAATGTCAGCATGGATCTACTGTGTGTTTGATCGCTAAAACCCCTTAAGAGTATTAGACATAATTCCACAATTCATCTAATCTGTGCTGAAGTTTAATGTAAAGCCTGTTATGTTCAAAACATCCATCTTTTTGCAGTGCTTTGCATTTTAAAGTTAGCACTTCTATCTAACATGCAGTATAAGTAAGAAAGTTGAAATATGCAAGTGTACAGGTCATTTGCAAAGTATTTATACTAGAATATACTAACTGTTCAAAAGACAGAAACCTACTTTCTGAGATTTTACCCTTATTATGACCACAGACACTATAAAGATTTCCTTGGTATACTGCTTTTACCATTTAGGTTAAAGTTTAAAGACTAAAATCAACAAAACTATTTAGATAGCTAAATGAGCAGAGGTTATGTGCTAAAGGGGTACTCATATTTAAATATCTTGCAGATAAGACTATACCCACAATTACAACAGAAAACAATTTCCCTGGTCCCCTGAAGCTTAGAGTTGCTTTCAAAAAATGCAATTTTTGTTCCTCTTTCAGATAATCTATCTGCCTACTGAGAGGGGTATTAACTATCTCAAGACAGTCCCATTCTCCTTAGCCCTAATTATCATTTCCTATCTTCTTTCTCTAGAATTTAACCAGCTAAAACAACTCTCAGAACAAAATACTGCAGAGGCAAACTGTTTGTAATGATTTTAATGATCGCTCCCCATGCTTGCCATTTTGCTGTGAAAGCCATCACGGTAGATGCCCCCGAAGCTGCCTGATGAGGTGTTTCTGCAGGGCTTGAACTCTTTCAGTATAGAATCAGTCCCACATCGGACTCTCACAAGTTATTTATGAAAACAGTAGACAATTCAAATATAGAGTATTCTCTTCTTTTCAAGAAAACAACAGAAAACTGTGGACATTTTAGCTGAGGTACCATCAGTACCCCATGAGAGGCTATAATGTTGGAGAGGCTCCAGACTAAGAATATGGAAAGGTGTTCTTGAAAGTTCTAGCAAAAAAAGGGAAGGTGATCAGTGCACAATTACTCGTGTCCATTTTTAATGGCTTTCCCAGAATCTTTTCTTTTTTTCATTTGCGTAAAATATTTAAATGAACTTATTTTCACACAGCTAATCTTCAGTTTTAAAAAAAAGTGATCAGGACAATTTTGAAAATATTTTGTTTGAAACTAAGTTAACACTGGAATTCCTCGGTCTATTTAAACTTGTCATCTTCAATTGTTCATAGTGACAGATTTCCTAATGCTCACCAGGCACTCATGCATTTTATGTTTGTTGGAGTGTGCATCTTGTAATGTTCACAGCTTCACTGATTCAATCATTCCTATTTTTGCTACTGATTTGGAAAGACTCACAGTATGAGAGAGAACAACAGGAGTGAATTGGTGATGCTGATTTCATCCAAGCATTTATCAAGATTCATAAATATACAGAAAGCCTAATTCACCATTTTCTTCGAAGTGATTTAATTTTCATCATTCTCTTATCTTATAGAAGAATCCTTTTATTTTCATAGAGAGTAGACTAAAAAAAAAAAAAAAAAAAAGGCAAAAGAAATAAAAATAATACCAGTCTCTAAGGTCTAGATAAGCATCTGCTCAAGCTGTTCAACTTTGTCTAAATTGTTTCATACCTCTATTTCACAGAGACTTCAAAGACACCCTTTGCCTCACCCATTCAGTGAATACATAACCCCTTCTAAGAAGCAAAACAATTTCATCCAACAAAACACATGAGCTTCCAAACAGCATAAGAACTAAATAACCATTGAGAGTGACTAACCCAAATTTCAAGTCCAGAGTTTTTCAGTCCTTTTCAGTTTGTTTACCTGCATAAATTTCCCAAAGGAGATGTGGATCCTTTCAGAAATATCACGTCTGTAGACTTCTGCAGCGTACGGGAAGTTGGCATTATATTTGCTGGGGGTTTTTTTGCTGAAAACCACTGGGGTCTGCAGAGCAAAGGCTGAAAATCCCTGTTCTGGTCTAAATCAGGCATAGCAGAGATGTGAGTATGCACTTCGCCATTTACACTCCAGGGTCTTCCTCATCAAATGTTTTCACAGAAGATGCCTTATGAGGACAAGATTGTGAATCGAAGGCTGAATGGGTGGGAGGAAACTGTGATTTATGCATCAAACAAGAGGCAAGCTCCTTCCACTTTTATTTTCCTAAAAAAATTCTAAAGGCTGTAATTTCATATGATTTATGATAGGAAACTTTTAACACATTCATAGAATCCTATTTTGCATTCAATCTAGTTATGACCTTGTCACACAATTTTATTTGTTGAGAACTTAGAAACTCTGAGATCTCCAGAGACAAGAAATACATGGGCCACATTGTGGTCACAATGTAATTTAAAATATTTCTGGACATTCTTGGAACTCTCTTGCAATTTTAAAAAAAATATTTATTTATTCTACTTACAGAATTTGGGTTTTGGGGAAAAGGGATAGAAATACAGATTAGGTTAGGAAGCACATAGAAAAGTGATGGCTGAAAATAATGCAAATAAATAAAGACATCCAAACCTCATCAGTACATTTTATCATCATTTTATTCAAATCCTGACTTTAAATTAAAACAAATTGAGACTTTTTCACTTAAGATGCTTATACCTATCCTTCTTTCACCTAAAAGCATACAAATTCTTTCTTTACTGCATGCTACACATAAACATATGGGCCATATTTTGGAATGGAGCTATGAAGAAAATATTTTGCTGCTATTAACACAAATATGAAAGGAGACTATAGTGACATGACAGCTGTTGGTGTATTACCTACCTAGAGGGCTCTCTGAAGTGTTTATTTTTCACCATTGCCCATTTGGTTCTTTCAGAATTTAGGTGAAATATAAGATTATAGAGCTCTCCAACATGCACTCACAAATCATGGAAGGTATTTTTATCTAAGTGTCTAATACAAGAGTAAGTTTCTTTCATACACATGAAACAGCACTAACATGGCCTACTAACTGTACAAAGCTCAACAGAAATAAATCTGATCAACTCCTCAGATAGCTCAAACCTCCAAATATGCTGACAGTACTAGAACAACAAATCAACAAAAGTTTAATAAATAATGCTACTAATATACAATGGAAGAACAAGTGATGATAACGTTATACCTGTCCCATGCATAATGCATATACATACTAAATTAGTAATTTTAAAATGAAAACCAATAGACTATGTTCTCTTATTTAAGAAAGTTTAAGTGAAAGGGTAAAAATATATCTTAAATTAAACTAGAGTGTTTAAAAAGTAAGCTTAGTATTCCAGGGAGCTCAGACAATATATTTTCCTCTGTATTCTTTTAGAGCATAAATCTTTAGGAGAGTTAAATGTAAAACAGCCTTTAAGGGAGCAGGACTCAGTCAATGAGATAAAGAGGCAAGTAGCTCACAAACAGGAGAGCAGTTAAAAGTAAAGATTCATCAGGGATCTTACCTAATGAAGACAGAAAAGACCTTGGAGTACCTGGAGTAGCTGCTATTTGAGATTTTCAAGGACAGGCTAGTTAGTGTCAGCATTTGTCAACAATGACTGAGATACAAATTATTCTCCTTTTTTATGAAGGTTGCATTAGTTTGTCTCCCACAGCCCCTTCCAGACCTCTTTTAGTAGGAATGCATGAATTTGGATTGGAAAATTACCTAAGAGCCTTCATAAAAATGCTGAAAACTGTGTTTATTCTGCATCTGTTCCTGCACAGCACAAAGTATTGGAGCACTTGAGAGCTTGATTTCACACCCATTTCTCAGCAGATCTCAAGAGAAAAGGTCAGGAAACTAGTTGAAGTTCTCTGATCCCGGACCACCACCAATGTACAAGATAGGACTGAGTTTCTAGATCCAAGTTATGCATTGGCCTTGAGAGAGTATGCAAAAGCAGCATCATAGGGTGGAACATCCCTCCTCTTTAGTGGTTCTTGCACAAGATATTGTCCCTGGCATTCTCTGTCCCTGGCAGAGGGACGCAAAAGGTAGGAGAAGTAAACTACATTACCCACTACTCGGATCTTTCCTATGAATGAGAATAAACTCTTTCTGTTCCTTAATGTTTATTTTAATTTATATTTACTTTAGAACAACATCCCCATTTCTAGCCTCATTTTCCCCAGGTATTTGAATATTTATGAAGCTATATAAACAAGAGTATATGGAGATTGAATATTCCTTTATAAAAACTCAGTGGTAGGATTTACAGAATATTTGTACTTTTCATGACTGATGTTGAAAATTGAAAATATAATTTTCACAGAAGGCTTATGTGGCTCCTGAAAAACCTGTCAGTTTTATATTTTACATTTGGGGGGGGGGGGGGGGGGGGGGGAAGGAGCAAGAAAGAAAGAGAGAAAGCAAGAAAAGCAAGATGTATGGAAAAATGCACTAGGTACTTTGTGAGACAGCAG